GAAGATGCCATAACACAATGTCTTACATTACATTTTTTTTGGAACAGTGGAGTTTTATTATTTAATTTTTTTTTTAAAAAAAGCACCATTTTTACATGATCTTCTTTGACGGGTGCTCGCTCGGAAAACTTGCCTTTCCTTCACCGTTGCATGCCTGTCACAGTGATGAAACGAGAACACATGCAAAATTGACAGCCTGTAATGCTCGATATTCGGCCAGATATAGTATCTGAAGATGACTTCCCTCTTGATGTAGACAAGACGGCGAGATGACTAGAGGTAATCCTTAAAAAAAAGTAAGACAAGATAGTATTTGGCATTCTATTATGGGTAATAAGTGCAGACTCATTTTATCAGGCCTCCCGTCAGTTGAAGAAAGTTCTGTGTTTTGATATTCTGTTGGCTGGTAGGGCTGGGATTGGGCCAAAATGTAACAATATCCAGAATATATATTTGAATGATATTTAGGGCTGCAGTTTGGTCCAAGACTAAATGTTGAAAAATGGGGCCTCTCAATTTTTACAGTCTTGAATAAATAAATATAACGCAGAACACAGAATTTCAGCACCTTGGACAGTGGTAAATTCTGGCGCTGTGATTCACGCAGGTCACACAACATGCCAGGAGTCACACACAGAGATCAATAGATTTCAACTAGCAACCTTCAAGCAGATCGACCTTCCCGTCTCTGGTTGGAAAGGGTTATAAAATCAGAATTTGTTTTGAGTTTCATGAGGATTTGGTGATTTATAAAAGCAAGTGGTCTTGTTCATTGGCACTGCACTGACCTTTCACATTCCACCCTTGTGCTGCTTGTTCATTGGCACTGCAGTGACCTTTCACATTCCACCCTTGTGCTGGGTCAACAGCGTGAATTAAGAGGTAGTGTGCTGGAACCATTTCACAGACACCAGAGGTCAAGTCCACCATGACCCAACCCAGGCATAGCCACTTTATTTGGTGAAAAATGTATAAATGACATTTTTTTAAAAAAGAGGAAAGTAGTATTTGGAATCTCTGAGCACAGATAAGATTACTTGATAGTAGTATCAAAGGGCATTTGGTATCTGCATGACCTTGGCTTTTCTAAAGTGACTATATCAATGGTTTTGCTTACAGCCGAAAATCCATTTCTTTTTTATCAGAAACGTCCTCCTGCGCGCGCTCCTAAAACCTGAACCACTCACGAAGTAATGCAGTTTTGGTCTTTGTACACGAAGGGTTGCAGTTTTCAGATGACTAAGTCACTGTGACAGTTAGCTCCGTGGACGTGTGGAGCACCAGGGGAATGTTGTGTTGCTTTTTCCATTAATATGGTTGCATGTTGAAACAGGTAGACTTCAGAACAGCGCTCTCTGGGGCATGGTTGTTTTGTATTTTGGTCAAGACGTGTGATGGAGGCAGCACAGGTTTCAGGGCTGATGCTGATCAAAAACAAATACATTTAGTATAGATAGATAGATGGATGATAGATGGATGGATGATAGATGGATGGTAGGTGGATGGATGGATGATGAATGGATGGATGGATGGATGGATAGATAGATGGATAGATAGATAGATAGATGGGTGGGTGGGTGGATGGATGGATGGTAGGTAGCTGGATGGATGATGGATGGATGGATGCATGGATTGATGGATGGATGGATGGATGGATGGGTAGATAGATGGATAGATAGATAGATAGATGGGTGGGTGGGTGGATGGATGGATGGTAGGTAGCTGGATGGATGATGGATGGATGGATGCATGGATTGATGGATGGATAGAGGGATGGATGGATGGATGGATAGATGATGGCTGGATGGATGGACAGATGGATAGATGATGGCTGGATGGATGGATAGATGGATAGATAGATAGATGGGTGGGTGGGTGGATGGATGGATGGTAGGTAGCTGGATGGATGATGGATGGATGGATGGATGGATGGGTAGATAGATGGATAGATAGATAGATGGATGGATGGATGGATGCATGGATTGATGGATGGATAGATGGTTGGATGGATGGATGGATGGATGGATGATGGATAGATAGATGGATGGATGGTAGGTAGGTAGGTAGGTAGATGGATGGATGGATGGATAGATGGATGGATGGATGGATGATGGATGGATAGATGGATAGATAGATGGATAGATAGATAGATGGATGGATGGATGCATGGATGGATGGATGGATGGATAGATGGATGGATGGATGCATGGATGGATGGATGAATGAATCAATCATACTTGGTTCTATTCACCATTAACAGTAATCAATCCTGATTACTCCACAGCTAACCTGTGATCAATCAGATTAAGTACTAATAATGATAATGATATGAACTTGTTCAAATGTGTTCATCTATTTCTAAAAGCTCTGCCATGTACTGCTACCCTGAGTACTTCAGATGATATACTACAAAGTTTTTCACTTGACACCTCCACGTCTCCTGCGGCCCCAGGAGGACCATCCGTCTCCTCTTCGTTCCTCCAGATCTCTCATCATCTCCTGGGCCTTACATCAAGTGTCCCAGATTTTTCAATCAATGGCCGTAAACAAAACACAGCCTAAACCAGTTGCAGGGTACAAACAACACTATCATGTGTTTTATTTTTGGGTTTGTTTGTGTGTTTGGTGTTCCACAGTCCACACATTGCTTTTCTCTGGTGTAGAATATAAAGCGGAATATAAACTATGAAGTAGATTTGTTGATTTAAGGAAGCATGTATGCGTTTGCGTCGAAGAGCACAACATAAACGGATCAAGGCAGAGTCAGGTGTGTAATCCATTTGTATTGGCAGCGAGCCGTCGATCCCATCCTCAACGCCAGACTCTATGATGAAGTGAAAGAGCTCCAGTGCGGTCATGTGTGTGCCCCGGGCTCGTGTGTGCATGGATGATTCTAATGGAAGCTCTGCATACATTAGCATGTGTTTGCACCTGCTGGTGCGTGTCACTGGTGTGTCGCTGCGACCACATGGCTGACAGCCTTGCTGATTTCACTGGGCGGAGGAGGCTGCATTGCAGTGCTTGCACATGGAACGAGCTCTCGGCGTGTGAGCAGCTCAGGGTCAGGGGAGAGGAGGAGAATGGGAAACGCTCGAGTCTCAGGGCTCATCTCTGGGTTTCTCTGTTATTCCGCTGTATTGTGTAACACTGTGGAAAATAGTCCTCACTTCTGTACTTTTCACTTTTTGTCTAGTGATTGTACAAAAAAAAAAATTGCAAATGATTTTACAGTCACCGCTCAGAAAGCTACAAGCTAACAGTTAGGCTAACCGTGGTGGCGCCGCTGTGAAGTCACTTATAACGACACAATTTATCCGACACCATCATCCAGTCCAACATCTGCATTCGAAGATAACGAAGGTTTTTAGATGTAGCTTTACCGGAGTTGTTTTGAAGACGTGTCATGCTACATGACTAGCCTCCTGCGGGCTAATCCTGAAACATGACATTCGGACAAGTAATGTTTAATGTCCCTGCTCTGTAGGGGCAGGTACAATAAACACCCCCCCCCCCCCCCCCAGCTCCCTCCCTTCCCTGACAGAAGATGAATGAGCAAATTTGAACGTCTGCAAAAAGTCACGGATTTGCTCTAACCTCCATTGTCCAAGTCATCAACACCTGGCTTTGTCCTCAGCTCAACCATATATTTATTACACAGTCACAGTGGAGGAAATCAACCTGAGCTGCTGTCAGCCCCACAATCCTTTGGACAAATTTGCTGCCATTAGAAATTCCTCCTGCTTCTCTCGCCGTAATCCCGCGAACATGATTGGTGTGGCGAGCCGAGAAAATGCCTCCCTGTGGAGTTCTGATTCTTGACTGGATAAAGTGCCCGAAACGTGAGAGAATTCTATATGTTTTACTTTGGGAACCTTTTGCCTGCAGGGACGTGTCACTAAGTAAACAATGTGGGTCAGCGATACAGATCAACTTCGAAGACAAATGTGCCAAGTGATGGTTGTCGTTGTGGCCTGGAGTCGGTGTTTCATGTTCAGTATTATTAGTTATTACACGTAATTATAAGTGAGGTTGTGAAATGGTTCATATTTTTGATATGATTAATCGGGATTAATCGTAATCGCAATTAATCGTGGTTCCCATCAGTTTTTATTTGTGATTAATCTAAGGGATGGGAGTACCCATAGGGAAAAATGTAAAGAAAATTCAAGATTTAGCTTCATTGAGTTGACTGTCGGTGGCGTTTCGAATGTGATGAGAGTGGCTATAGTGTCGGCAAATGCACGCTGGGAGTGGAGTTGGTATTTTAATCTCCCGCGGTGTTTGCAAATATGTAAATGTGTATTAAACAAACAATCAGTGGATGGGCGGTGGAATTATGGGATGTACCGTGCTCATCGTTCTGCCCTTTCAATAAAACGCGTCAACAATTTTAGTCCCATTTGTAATCTCAAATGAACCTACGCAATTAATGCATTAGCAGAACGGGCCTGCTTATAACACACTTAACACTGCAAACAGGACGAGTGAGAGAAACAAACCACATCCTTTACCATGGGTTTAATGTCTTAAATGAGCAGGAGTTGTATTAGATCTACACTTGTGGAACCCTCTTCGCTCTCAAAGTTCTCTGGCCGCAACAAGTGGGACAACATTTTTTTTTTTTTAATTTTTAAGGAATTTTATTTAATAACTTAAAACTCAATTTTTTTTTTTTTTTTTCATTTTTAAGGAAATTTTATTTAATAACTTAAAACTCAAAAGTTTTTTTTTGCATCAGTGAAAAGTCCCTAATGAATAAAGCTGTTCAGAGGGCTACAAGGGATGAAGCCTTTTCTCTCAGTCCGAGGGGAGTGGTCAAATTAGTAGTGAGAAATAAATCACTGTAGAGGAAGCTACCACCCCAAAGACCAGGAGATGAATGGAACACTCCCCTCTGGATCGGTGTGATTTAAGATGCAGAATTTCAATGAGTTTGTTTTTTTTTTTTTCCATTTGCCTTCAACTGTAACTAAGTGTCTCTCCCTTGTTCTCATCCTCAGCAGTGGCCCCCACGCCTCCCAGTCCACGTTCTGAGGTTTTCAAGCCATGTGTGGAGGACAAGGACCTGGCCTTCTGTCTGAATGAGGGGGAATGCTCCATCATCGAAACTGTGGCTGGGGTTCACAGACACTGCAGGTCAGTGCTCGAGTGTCCGCCGTCCATGTTTAGGCGTTGACCCTGGGGGTCGTTTTCATTTCCGCTGCTTTTTATTTGGTGTCGCCACTCTGAGAGATTGTGCAGTTTGAATGATAACGCTCCGATTACATCACGGTGAAAATGACTCTCTCTGAAGACTGGCTAATCCGTAGCACTCTCCTCATCAAGGGTGTCCCTCCAATAATCCCATACTTTAACATCGGGGATAGAACATTCCCCTCTCAATAATAATTTCCTGAAACATCATTTTTCATACTTGTGTCGCTAATGTCATCATATTTGACAGCTGTAATTTCAACTTGTCTGACTCGGGGGGTTTTTTTTTCGTTTTTTTTCTCGGGTTAATAGCTTCTTCAAAGTTTGCAGAGAGAAGCAGAGAACTTATTCCGGCCCGGGCGTGTTACAGCAGGCTTATAGGATTTTCTCCTGGTCGAAATTTGAACTTTTTAGAAATAAGGCTGATTCATTCTAATAGCCTTGGTCAAACCCAGACACTGGCCAATTCTGCCTTTTTCCAAAAATGTACTTTTTTTCCTGTTGGCCCTTTTTTCCCCCCTTTTTTATTATAATTATTTTCTGTGCTGCTGTAAGTTATTTATTTATTGCTAATTGTTTGCAGAGTTAGTTAACAGCTCGCAGCAGCTGGTGTTTGTTTATAATCTGCCAAGAAGTATTTGGGAAGTGGAACCGAGGGGCATTTAATGGTCACTTGTAGAGTAAAAATCTGTGTACTTCGTTGGTTAGTACTTCGTTGGTTAGTACTTAGTTCGTTTTGTACATTCTCATTTTACCATATTTGATATTTTATTTGGACTCTGTTAACTGTTACCACTGAGGCCTTCCGTGGCCACTAGGGGGCAGTCTCCGCAGTCATTGGGTGACAAACAAACAACCATTCATACTAGTGGTTTTTTTGGTCATTTTTTTCCGATACCAACATCGATCCTTAAAACACCTGTCAAACTCTGTTCATTTAACAACTTGAATTATTGTATTGTGTTTTTCTTGACACATTAGTCCTTACAAATTACACACTATTTTACCTAAATTGAATAGTTGATTGCTACTATCAAGGAACGACGTAGGCGTGGCCACCTTACCAGATCTGTCCATCTTTACACAGACAGATTTTAAAAGTGTTACAATTACAATGTTAACAAAATTAAGTGTAAAGAACAGGCTCGGACCAGAACTTTCACTGATCGTCCTTCAGATTCTGCTTCTCCCCCCCACTTTCTCCTCTGCTCCTTTCTCTACTTTTTTTTTGTTCTACCCTCAGGCGGTCATTGAAACCCCACCTGCCCGGCAGCATAAATACTGCTAACTTCTAATAATATGCCCTTGATGTACTTAAACACATCTCGGCAGACATAATTAAAATGCTAATCAGTTGCAAAATCCAATCATGAGGTATTTCAGTGCCTCTGATCGTTGATTCACCCACATTAGGCCGCCTGCACTGCCACCTATAGCTGTTCTATTCTACTCCAGTGTATTCATTATGCGCAGCCATTGCACTGTCTATGACATGACATATTCTACAGTCCGTTTGTTCTCTAACAGTATGTCACTTTATAATCCTTTTAATTAGTTTAATTACAAAGTTTTAGTGCACGGGAAAAAAAAAAAAAAAAAACCTAAGTGAAAAAGTATGCTGTAGGCATTCTTATGACTAATGCATCTGTTCGTGTGTGTGTGTGTGTGTGTGTGTGTGTCGGTGCTTTATGTACAAACATGAGTCATTTGTTTGACTGTACAAGGCGTTGCAGTTCTTGGCTCTACATGTGCCCGCGTGTTAGCTCCGCTCTGTGCACAATCCGTCTACTCGCTTCAGTGACGATAAAAACGTTCCACATTATGCGTACAAAATGCGTACAGTTAAACATAAACGTGGAACGAGTGACGAATTGTGTAAATGAACAGAAAATCAAAGGGCAGTAATGAAACATAATCGTAATAATGGCAGCACGTTGGGAAAACTGGAAGCATGAACTGAATACAATGATGTGAAAAGCTTATATCATCTGCATATAATTGAACAAACAACCGAGATAAAATTCATATGTATTTTCTATACATATTTGATATGCAATTATAAAAAATGTACTTATTTTGTTGTATACAATATATATATTTACATATATGTATATATACCTACATATACATATATGTTTATATATATATTTATACAGTATATATTCATGAATTACTTTTCATTTTTCAAGTCTGTGCTTAAAAGTGATGAAGTTTTGATGTGTAATGAAGGACAATTTCTCACCCGAGCAGCTCAGGAATAATCAGGATTTATAAAAAAAAAAACAAATTCAGAAAATTACCCGGTGAGCTGTAGTTAGCAACAAATAAATGAGTCCATCCTGTGGGGCTGAGGAGAGATCGGAGGGTCTCACCTGGAGGAGTCATCCATTCGTTGGCCTGCAGCAGAGTGGATGTGCAGTGTTAAAGGGCCAGGCCAGGATTGGGAGTTCTTCTCCTGAGAAATTGCCTCTTTTGCCTGAGAGAACAGAAAGTCAGAATAACGTGATTTGCCTGAAGGAATGTCAGATTAATATCATTCCCACTCTCCTGAGCACAAGGGGTTTCAATCCGGCCCGCTTGATACATTTTGAAAATAAAAATAAAATACACAAACACCTTATGTTAGTAATGTTGTGTCAAATATTTCATTAAATAGGATTTCCTCTTTATCTAATTTACTTGTACGTCTTTGCATGAAAACAAAGGGGAAAAACATGGACTTATTGTTATTTATAGTTCATTATATTATGATTGTACTGGTCCGGCCCACTTGATATCTAATTAGGTCGTATGCAACCCCTGAACCCAGATAATTTGACAATAAAATCAAAGCAGTATTAGTACTACCTAGTAGTACTAGCAGTAAAGCAAAGGAAGAGGCTGAAAATTTACTACACTGTCAAATAATTACAGGAAATTCTTATTCAAAGACGTGCTTGACAGCGATGAAATAGAATGCGTCTTGCCAAAGTGCGGTTCTGCACACGAGAGCCGGAGACGTTGCTGCCGATCAATCGTCGCTCCAGGGAACGCGACATCAGCGTCGCCATGACAGCCACTGCCCATCTCCTGTCTCGTGTTGGCAGTGGCGAGAGTTTAAAGATTGCTGCTTCATTTGACATCACTGTTTTCCCTCTAAGCTCCGTGCAGCGATAGAGAGATGGATAGATTTCTCCCCATGACGCGGAGGGAAAGATGACAGAACAGCTGGAGTCGCTCGCACTGTCTAAAATGTGGAGTCGATGCGTCGATGGCACGAAGCGTTCTCTGGTCTTTGTCTCTCGAACCTGAAAGGATTCGATGTGCCTGTTTGCCCCGCTAATAACAGCCGCAAATAGCCTGGTTATACAAATACCAGTTTTGGACCCTTTTTTCATGTCACACCTTTGTCTTTTTAATATCGTGTAGCCCTGAAAGAGCTAACACACAGTTAGCTTTCTACCTGGCTAAGTGGATGGCATTATGCTAATTTGGTTTAAATGCCGGAATAACAATTATAGAAACCAGCTGCCATTGTATTAATTGATGGGCAGATGCAGTGGGATGTGCAGCTATTGATGGACACCATTGTCAATCAACTGTTTTTTGTTTTTTTTTTGTCTCCTTTTTTACAAAATATATCTCATTTAGTACGTTTGAAATACAAACAGTTGCAACAATTGTATCGAATCTAAGGAAATCAAAATGGAAACCATTGCTGAATTTGGTCCGGCTTCAAAAAGCTAACAATATGAAATTTACTAGGACAAAAAAAAAATTTCTCTCGAAAGACGATAGGAAATGTAACTTAATACAATCTAGCCTTAACTTGCGTTTTCAAAAGTAACCTTTGTTACAAAATATTATACAAAGTTATAATTATGATTAATTATTATTATTATGATATATTTAATACATATATGATGTATAAATATAATTTTAAATAATGCATATTTTCAAAAAATGTCATCTTAAATATCGGTAATAGTTTTATTTCTACTTTAATTTTGCCACTAAAACTTAGTCACATGTAGACAGTGCGTACCTCGCTTGGTTTCTTGTCTTTAGTTGAATATGTCCGTGGCTTTTCTGAGTTAGACCAAATGAAAACCTTGACAGAACGGTGTTGTAGCGGCGGCTTCTACGCAGCGCAGCTCTCTTCCTGGGAAATACGGTTAAGGGGCGAACGAGCAGCTAAGCCTTTCCTCCAGGGGAAAAATGTCCCCGCGCCTGAAGTAGAGAATGGCCACGGGTTTATATGGGGCAACCCAGATTGAATTAACTTTGGACGAGATAGCACATTTCCCATAATCCTCCGAGAACCGATGCCCGGCGTAAGAATTCCGTGTCAGGACACGGGGAGACAAATAGAAGCTGCAGCCGACCACTGGGACACTTTGGTCGGTCTGCCAGGAGGCGGCTCTGTGTGTTTAATATGCTGGAAGCCTGCTGTGTTTTCATTTACAGATAAAGATCGGACACAATCATTCAAAGTCACAGAGAGTTTGGGAACGAATCCATGACCGATTCACAACGTATAAATACATCGATTACGTTTTATTTTTGTTTTCTGCTGCGTGGCTCGACGTTGATGTGTCAATTTGGTGATGCTCATTAGTTTAAATGGAACGTAACTTTACTTTTTCTCGTGTTTCTTGTGCTGATGCCGCCTGGGTTTGTATGATCTGTTAGTCAAAACAGAAACCTGGACTTGAGTGTGACATAATTTAGAGACATCGTTTCAAAAGAACCTCGCTGAATCTTGCCTTGAACGTATTTAGATCAAAAGATATTTTAAAACAAACAGGTTTCATTTCATTACCTTAAAAAAATATATATCTGTATATCCATGTGTTTAAAACCATATTTTTGGACATATATCTGCCTTGTGACCAACATATATACAGTATAGTTTGGCCAAAATTTAAAAAGAAAATGATTTGGAAAGAACTAACTCAGAGTTC